ACAAATTGAGTCATTTCCTCTCTCATTTGAACTACAATCTCGCCCATTATGCCTCTAACCTCTTGCACTGAAAGTCCAGGTAGAGGAGGGGAGGGTGGTGGCTGAGCCGGTGGTGCATGTTTAGATTGTTGTTGTAGCTGTGCAGTGGAAGTTATAGGAGAAGAAATAACCTTGGGTATTGAGGAAGGCTGCTGCCTCTTTGAAGCCATTTTTAAAAAGCACAATTGTCACTTCCCTTTCCCCTCCAGCCAAAAAGGGAGGAGGAAAAAAAGAAAAAAAGAATTTTTAAAAAGAGACAAACTATAATCATTAAAAGTCCAGAATAAATCCCAAGAATAAGTAGTAAAAGAGCAAACAATTCAAAAAAAAAAATTCTAAGCCAAAAGCAAAAGCAAAAGCAAAAAACAATCCTTAAAAAGGGAAAGTAAAACAAAAGAGAAAGGAAAAAAAAACTCCGACACTTTCAAAACGCCATCTTAAATCCTTTCACTAGTATAACAAAGAAAAGGAGGAAAAATAGTAAAAATCAAAAGATAAAAAAATAAACACCTAAAATATAAGAAAAAGTCCTTTAAACTGCTCCGTCCGTTTAAAAATTACTCACCAAAATGCTGTAAACACGGAGATAGAAGCGGCGGTTTCTTTTGCTTCCAAGGAAGCAAAAACCGCTGGGAGGCGGAGATCAGCAAGAGCTCCGAGGGAACACTCCTTTCACCCCCTCTAGAAATAAATCCAGAGGGGGTTCAGGGGTTCTACCTCTACTCTTGCGTTCTCTATCCCTTCCCTTTGCCCGGGAAGGGATTTCCGAGCCGCGGGCCAGCTGATGCACGCTGCGCTCCGCGGCTCTGACACTTCCCCAGCTGGACGGCTAAAAGCTAGCCGCCATCGCCGTCGCCTCCCACCGGAAGCTCCCACATTTTATTAACTCTTTAATTTTATTTTTAACAGTAATTTTGGTCAGAGGATGGGCCTGTGTTTATCTTCAGCATGCTTAAAAAGCAGTGACGGATGAAGCTCGGCTTGTTAGTAGGGGCTGTTTATTAGGGGTTAAACGATAACTCTTGAAGTGTACTTCAGTCTTCCTTTAAACAGCCTTAATCCAAATTGTGGCACATTTAGAATAGAATAGACCACAGGTTGGCAACCTGCGGCTCCGGAGCCGCATGCGGCTCTTTGAGCCTTCCCCTGTGGCTCCCAGCTTCCTCTGCCATTTGCAGAGAGACAGAGACAGAGAGAGGCAATTGCGTTTCTCTGCTTCTCTCTCTCTCTCTCTCTCTCGCTCTCTCTCTCTCTCTCTGTGTGTGTGTGTTTTTGTGTGTGTGTTTTTGTGTGTCTGTGTGTAAAAGAGAGTGCACTCACAGTGTTCTCCAAGGAGCTGAAAAGCTTATTGGGCGGGGCTCCTCCCTTTGCTGCGTCTCTGCAGGAAGCAGGAAGGGCAGGAGAGAGCTAGCTAGCTCAGCTATGCTGACTCAGGAATTCTGGGAGTTGAAGTCCACGAGTCATAAAAGAGCTGAGGTTGCCTACCCCTGAGCTTGTTGGAGAACAGCTTGAAGCCAGCTTGCCAGATGAGCAGCAGATAGGCGAGAGGGAGGGAGAGAGAGACAGAGAGAGACCCTTTTGACATCTAAAATGAAGATAACACTGTATATATCCTTTTTTACTTGTGTGTGTGTGTGTGTGTGTGTGTGTGTACACACACACATCTATAATAAAGGTAAAAAAGGATATATGCAGTGTTATCTTCATTTTAGATATCAAAAAGGTTTTGCGGCTCCCAGTGTTTTGTTTTCGGTGGGAAACGGGTCCAAGTGGCTCTTTGAGTGTTTTGGGTTGCCTACCCCTGGAATAAAACAACAGGGGACCTTGGAGGTCATCTAGTCCAACTCCCTGCTCAACCAGGATTCTATATACCATTTCAATCCAGTCTCTTCTTAAAAACCTCCAGTGTTGGAGCATCCACAGCTTCTGGAGGCAAGGAGTTCCACTGGTTAATTGTCCTCACTGTCAGGAAGTTTCTCCTTAGTTCCAGGTTGCTTCTCTCCTTGATGAGTTTCCATCCGTTGCTTCTTGTCCTGCCTTCAGGCGCTTTGGAGAATAGCTTGACTCCCTCTTCTTTGGGGCAGCCCCTGAGATCCTGGAACACTGCTATCATGTCCCCTCTGGTCCTTCTCTTCATTAAACTGGACATACCCAATTCCAGCAACCATGCTTTATTATTTTGCAAGATTATCTTGTTCCTGTTCCGTAGGACCGAGACTGGTGGCCGCTAAATCCAGGTGATCCCATGTTTTTGACTCTGGAAGGAAGGACAATTGCATACGACGGAGAAGTGACAGTGTACCCAACCTTTGTGAACGAGGCCGCGTATTACGAAAAGCAACAAGCCTTCATAAAGACGGTGAAAGAAAAATTGAGCGCCAAAGGGCTCCAAGTGTCTTAAACCAGGATGGTTTGTTCAGGTCCTCTAAAGTGCCAGCAAATATTTGGCATTTCTCATCCAAGGTGGCCCAAGGACATCATAGATCCTAGACCAGTGGTTCTCAACCTGTGGGTCGGGACCCCATTTGGGGTCGAATGACCATTTCACGGGTGTCACCAAACCATGCTGTCCGCCATTTTTTTCCCTTTTCCCTAGCTGTCCTACTCCCTCTTATTGGT